GAGACATGGTGAACGGCGGGACGGAGCGAGACGCGAACTGGGCTAGGCCTGCGGGGTGACCCAGAGTCATGATGTCAAAATGTGGCCGCCTTCCTGGGTTCCCCCCTCTGGTTTCACCTGAGGCTCCGACAAACGTCGCGGATCGCCGGCATCTGTGTACCTTAGCTTACTTATGCGGGTTCGGTGATGTACAGCAGAAGCGGGGTTCAAAGGAGAGCTATCGTCGTGTTTTGCTCGCGGTGGTTGTAGATGTGATCTTGTCGGTCATTTCTCCGCTTTCTACATTTGTGAGCTCGGGGCATGCTGGTGTTCTGGCTGCCCTTTTCATGCGTTTTTTTTGTCCCTGGCGGCTAGAAATTAATACAACCGACCTGTTGGTGCCTTCGTTCGACCCGGTTGAGCTGAGTTGGTTTTCTCAGTTAGGTTGTTCATTTTTTAGTCAATTAAAGGCGTGATGGGGAAACAACGTTAGCTCGCAATGACCACAACAACCAATCGTGTTGTCGGCACTAGGTCAGGCGAAGCGCACTTGCCGCCGCGACTTTCAGCATCCGTTATCTTCGAATGGGTCCTTTTACCCTGTCCCGTACACACATCCCATCCCAACTCTCGGCCACCACGAAACCCACTTAAAGAAACGGTATCACGCCGATGGGCATGGTTGGACTAATGACACCTCTACTACAGTTGTAGCGGGCATTCATACGTGGTAAGGAGTACCCACGCCGAGCACCGAAGTAGGGCGTGCGCAAAAAACGAACACTGCAACATTGTCACGACGTCGCCGTGGAAAGTACGCAGAATGAGATTCTGGATTCTAAACGATGTTACGGTGCGATTGCGGGGCAACCAGCTGTGCTATCCGAGCGTCCCATCGCTGCAGGACCTAAACACGACAGGGCACGCATCGGTCAGCATGCAGATGGTGCTCCGTGCCTGTTGCTTTTCCAAGGCAAAAAACACTCCACGACTTGTCGAAGCCAGCAAACGTAGTGTCCCCCAGCAACCGAATTTCAGGGGGGAACCGTGGATGGTCATCTTGCCAACCCGACGAGTTTCGACACGTGGAGACATGCCTCCCCTCTCCCAAACACAAAATGAAGAAGTTGACAGGTTTGCTCTACAAGCATAGAAAACAAGGACACTTCGCGCAAGTGTTCGCGTTCCCATACAACTCGACTGACTCGTTCCCCCGGCTCATCACGCCACACCGTCGCACACATGATGCGGCAATGCATGTGTTGTCGGAGACTAGATTTGAACCGCCGATGCATCTAGCAGATGTCGATGCCGATGTCCATGTCGTCTAACGCCTTGAACCTGTTCGTATCGAATGAAGAGAAGGGGGATATTGTTGCGTGTGTGTGTGGGGTCGATAGGCGAGAATACGTGAGCATGAATGCGCGATGAGGAGTTCTGGACACGGCAAAGCAGAACAACGTACCGTTGAGAGCGGACAACACTTGGTGGCAAGACTACAATTGCCATGCGAATTCACAATGCAACACCACCCATATCAGTCCTACGTGGCGATACGTTACTTCGAGCAAAAATGTCGTGGTATGCAGTAGTACTGCCGCTGTGCGCTCGTCTGTGTACTCCTTTCGCGTTACCTCTCCTCTTCGCCCTTGGTGCTTGGCATGCATGAGGACGACTGGAGAAAGTTGGGGGAGGACCATGGAGTACCAACGCCTTGTGGGTCTTGAGCTTGCTGTACGTCTACACTACTGTATCACTACTATTCTCCCAACTCCCCAACGTCACCCCCTGTAGCAAAAACAATCGTCAAAGCAGTAAAGCTTGTTGGGACTGCAAAACGAAAACAACAAGCTCTTCATAACCAAAAAGAGAGCGCTCCACACTCACAGGTACATGAACTCCGTCAATGTCATCGTATCCGCATCCGGCCTTTTCTCCAGCACGTGCGTCCCGATCAACTCCGCAAGCTGGGCGGAGTCCAGCTGTACACGGGAGCAGCACATCAAACGGACACGGCGAAATAAATTGAGACGCAACGCCCCGCATGTACTTCCTGCAAATACCAAGCTAGGGTAACCGAGTCAGTGGCCACACCCACGGTTCATAGCCACGAGAATGTCAGAGTTTGCCACCGGCGAAATATCCAAGACCCAGGGAATTGACGGCGCGATCAGACGCAACTCACGGTCGGTCCTTTGATCTCGACCGACCGCGAGGCGGGCTCGTTCTTCGCGCTCTTTGGCTGGATCCATCTCTCGGGGAAGCGTTGTACAGAGGCGCGAAGCCAACCATCGGACAAGCCCCGACACAGCAAGTAGGCAACCGGCACGCGCTCGACGACCATCCAGGCACGCACCCCTTACACTCACTCACAGGCGCTGCATCGTCCTACGTATACACTCGTCCTGGGTAAAATCGTCCTATTAATAGGTGTAACATACAAGAGGAACGAACGTCCTCGCCTGACGATTCGAAACCCACCTCGTCTTGAAAGCCGAGCTTATCCAAAACCTTGCCGACGTCTTCGAAAGCCAGCAGCCCCTGCTCGTTGTCGTGCACGTCGAAGGCGTCTCGCGCTTCGTTCACCTACGAAAATTTGGTTGATGGGGAAGGCGTTACGCGACGTGACACTGCTGCTGCACCACGAACATTCCCGAGACTTGGTTCGACACAAATGCTTGTTCTGCCGGCGCAACACGGTTCGACGTCCCCGCTTGACAGGCTCGGCGTTTCGTTTGTTGTCGCTCGTTGTGATTATTGACGCTGTTGTTTTCGTTGTTGTTGACTTCCCAAAAACTCGTGGCACAATGCTCGGTTTTGCCCATGGTCCCATCGTCCTTCACTCACTTGGGATCACGAACACGTCTGCATGAAAGGCGAAAAAAAAGGAATAGTTGGCACCAAACGCCTCCTTCCTACCATAACTTGCACATGCATTGCAACCTGCCCGACGAGTTTCCGGGACAACTTTCACACCAATCTTCAAGCAAAAAAACTAAATACGCATGTACGCAAACGTCGCGTCCCATTTGAAAAGACGTGTGCGGATGAACATCTGCAACAAAAGGAGCACCTTCTGCTGAGGCCGGGGAATGAGTCCTTAGACGCAGACGGGAGTTGGCACCGCACTCGCGTAACAATAAGAGATGTCAACCTGCATGTTGATCAGCCCCCCCCAAACGACAAAATAAACATCATAGGGCAGTTTGCCCAGCCCACCCCCCCCCCAAAAAAATCCAACCTGCATGTTGCCCAGCCCCAGCCGTTCCCCCAGCACCGAGGCCTCCGCGCGCATCTTCTGCACAGCGTCCTGCTCGTCGATGGTCACGGTGATCTCTTGCCTCAGCCCCTTCTCTACCTCCGCCATGGTCTCGTCCACCATGGGGTCCGCCACCGGGGGCGGGGCGGCGGCCGCGGCTTGAGCCTTGGTCGCCTCGTCCATCATGCGCTCGAGCTCCTGAATAGTTCGGGAGGGGGGGGGGGGGGGGGGGCAGGGTGGTAGGTTTGTGGTGAGGGCTGCGTGTGAAGATGAGGAGGTCGGAGGGAGTCGGGGGTGAAATGAATGCAGAAATCAATTGCTGAGTGTTTGGTACCGGTACTGCTGTGGGTATGTGTGGCAGCCTGAGGAGCCATGGCAGCACCAGGAAACGATGCTGTCACCCTTACCGCACGCGGGCATAGGGCACCGGCGGGCATAGCGGCAGCGGCAGCGGCAGCGGCAGCAGCAGTATTGCCAGTACGCGCAGCATGCCGTAGAGACGTAGATATATTTGAATTCGGTTGGTCGAAATACACGACCACGATCACCGGCAAAAATCTCAAGAAAGGTAGCTCTCTAGCCACGCCGACCCCCTACCACGCCACCAACAACACACCTGCGGGTCGACCTTCTCGATGATCCCGGTTTTGATAAGCGTCCCGTCGGCCTCCTGGCGGTAGGTGATGATGTTCCCCGCCTTATCCGCCTCCCGTACGTGGGTCACCATGGCGTGGTAGAACAGACCCTCCGGGCCGGTGTCGTACCTAACGCCGTCCGTCACCACGAAGTCTAGAACCTGCCTCATCCCGAGAGATAGACAGCGAGATAGACGGTGAGGGGGGGCACAAGAGTGTAAGGTATTAATAGCAGTACTACGCGTCGACAGCAAGCGGTCGCGGCGGTGAGAGTGGTAGCCGGGCGGCGCATGACAGGGTCGGCAATTGCTGAATCCGTTACCCTTCAACATTCCGTTTTCTTCAAACACACAACCGCATGGTAGTCCGTTGAGGCACTCAACAGAAGTGAGGTTACTGCTGTGGAGGTGCCACCAGCGTTGCACCTGGGGCAAGCCAAGCCCTTTTCCAGATCCCAACCCGAAACAGCAGGTATGCATACACATTCTCGCCGACGCATCGGAGAAAGCCGCACGATTCGGGAGAAGCCATCTACTACCACAGGACGTGATATATGGTACATGCAGAGCACAAGGACTGCTGTTCGATGTGAGGTTACACACCAGTGTTGAGGATGACATGGATGAGCACGGCACAACCAGCAAGCAACCGAATAGACTACACCGCATCTCCCTCACTTTCATCCGCCGACCAAACAAATCACGAGGTTGAGTCTAACGGATACCTGCACCTCGCCGAAATCACGAAGTAAAACACTCGTCACGAGTCGTCACCAGCAGAGCGCCAATGCCTGTAAATGTAAGGAAGGACCCTTCGATGTCGACAGCCCTCCAAAAGCTTGACGTAGACTCCTCCAAAAACTTTACTTACTCGAGCGAAGTTGGGCACGTTGATGCTGATTCGGAAGTTCCCCTCGTCCCCCACCGGCATCATGGGCATCGTCACCCCGTCCTCCTCGCCGTCCCAGCCGTTGAAGCCGCCGCAGTAGAGAAGGGAGTCCGCACCCTCGAACAGCCCGGCGGGGGGGGTGTAGATGATCTCCACCGTCTCCTCCGCGGCAAGCTCGTCGTTCTCCGGGAGGAAGGTGACGCTACCGTGGGTGGCCGCTTGTTCGGAGGTTGTTGTCGTCGTCGATGCTGGTTTGGACAGGAATGAGCACGGGGCGAGAGCGGTGTAGGGGTTGGCGAGCCAACGCGGATGGAAGAAGAGAACGGCAGAGGATGCATCCCCCACCCGTGTGCCGCAGCGCTAGGAAACATAACTACCTGCGATTTAGGGGGGAAGCCGGGTATCGATTATTACAGCCCCTTATTTTTTAAATCCCGCTGAGCCAATGGGGTCGTTCGTCACGTTGTCATCATCGCCGCGCCAGAGACCACCGGCGAGCATGAAGAGCGAGGAGGTCTTGAGTATGATTCCGTGCTTCACTCCCCAAGGACGGACTTTCGTGTGCCATTTTTCTTAGTTGTTCGTTTCGAGAAACGCTGCGCGAAGGTAGCTTGCAACAACGCCGGCTTCGGGGTATGGAGAGGTGCCGCAAGGCTACTGCATCACGAGACGACCTTCGAGCGTTCACCGTGGTCCCGCAGAATAACAGATCATGTAGCCCGTACGCGCATGGTGCGGGCTGTTTAGATACCCCGGCAGACAAGGGCCTAACTACTAGAAGTAGGTTGTACCAATTTGGATCGCCATTGCGAGGATCAAGTTCGAAATGCAAGCTAAACAGGAACCATTCAGCAACGGTGGCGTATCCTGCGATACCAGCACACTCACCACACTTGAGAAGGTTCAGATGTGCGGACGTGCAAACTGCTCTTTTAGTGTACTGCTGTAGGACACGTTTCCTTCGCTCCCACGCGGCAGGCAGCGGGATGAATGTGCGACCCTCTAAAACTGTTGTGTATGCATACGAGCACTGGGCCGAAGTTGGCATATCCATATGCGTAGCTTCCCTGTGTTCCAAACGTGGAACGACTTGCGCTTGATTGTCGGGCTGCAGGCCCGTGCGAAGATCATTTCGAGCATTTACTGCTGTTTAGGACAAATCCCGACCCAAGACTAACAAAGACCGGCATCTCGCGTTGAACGCGAATGGATCAGCAAAGTAGTTACATCCCGGCCAGCAGTTAAATTCCGGATCGTAGCTGTCCGACTGGACAGAGCCAAGATCGTAAGGTAAGGTGGGTGGGCGCTCCGGAGCGCAACGAACGATGGAAACGTGGGGTGATCCTTGGGTGACAGAAAAAAAAAAGAAAAAAAAACTGGCTCTTCGTGTTACAGGGTACTGAGGGTGTGTCCTTCTGTGCGCGCATTTCTGTTGTCGATTCTCAGGCGCTACTACACCCCCGTTCCAGCTGGCAACCGGCATTCATCCCGCCCATCCTCATCATATACAGCACTGCCGTGGGATGTCGTGTAGCATACCTGCCGCATCACTTCCCAAATTGAAGGCGAATCAAGGTGTGCACATCTTTCACACAGGGTATTGTAGATATGTAGCACACCCATCAGCCAACGAACGGCACGGCAACTTCGAAGTGGAACCATACCCTGTACCTGATTGCACGGATGTCAAGCCCCTGTTTCGTGCCGCTGCCCGCGTTGTCGAGCTAGAAAATCTCAGCGATGATGCTCGACCCCACGAGTAGGAGGACGACTCGCATGTTGATTGCCTTGCTGATGAGCTTACCCTACCGCCAGATGACGGCAGGCGACCCGCTGTGAAGAACGCGTCCGCAGACAACGAGCATACCGCTAGGGCCGATACCACGGCGGTGACGCTAGCCACGCCCGAGTCCTTCATCCTACACAGGAGAGAGCGAACGGTCAACTGGGTAACCGTGCAGCTGGCCGCTGGCCGATGATCGGCTCCATGCTCATCTTTCATACCCACCATTGAATGCAGTTCTCGGTTGCGTACCCCCTTCAGTGCCACCACCAGGCGGCGTGCGTACTCCAGCACTGGCGACAGAGACTCGTGCTCCAGCGACGAAAACGCCTCCAGAACTCATACTACAGAACCTTTTTTTTGAAAGCGAGAGACGTGGGACGCTTCCTCTGACCGCCGTTGCTGCGTACCCAACGGAGCCGACAAACCTCCGCATGAGCGAAAGCATGGAGTCTTATACTGCTGCTGCCGTTACGAACGAGTCACATCATGTTGATGTGGGTGAGGACGTGGAGGGCGGGCTGGGCGGGCTGGGAGAAGTTGGCCCAGAAGTTGGTTCACCGTCACCTCTTTGTGGGTCTGGGTCTGGAGGAGGTGAAGTTGGCGCCGCTAGCTCGCCCGCGCCCGCGTCTGCTGCAGATGGGCCAGCTGCAAGTCCAAGGGGTGCGATCCTGCCGACGTCTCCAGGTACTTACAGGCGTGCCATCACTGCGTTCATCGACGTACATTTCCAACTTCCCATCTGTATCGGCACCAATACCGCCAGCGAAACAAGTCAAAGTCAAAGTTGTTGTTTGTTTGTTGTTTGTTCGTTGTTGTTGTTGTTGCTCTTGCTCACAAGATCGCTTATTTGTCCAAGTACTTTGGCCCCTCTAAACCAAGCTTCGTTGAAGCACACAACATTATCAACCTTGCTCATGCTTCTACTTGCATTTGTTTGTCGTGTCCAGAGGACCTGGCGACCCTTCAAGGGGAGGTAGAAAACCTCCTTTTCCCCAACCTCGAACAGGGGAGCCAACAACAGTTTGGGGAGGCAACAATCGAGAACGCCGTGGGGATGCTGAAGGCGAAGATTGGGCGCGGCTACCCGCTTCAAAGACACAACAAAACAAAGGTGAGGTTTGGACCCTCATGTTTGCTAAGGTTACCCTTCACTGGCGTGAAGAGTGGACTTGCTGCGTTGTTGATACTGTCGGCTGCACGTGGACTCGTCTTGTAGGGTCGTTCGCCATGAGACCAGATGCACAGCCTGAAGGATTGAAACATTGAACGTTCGTCGTGAACGTTCGGCAAGGGCTGACGTCCAATGTGGTTTTTCTGCACCCCCTTCAGTTGTACACCAGAAAGCAGGAGGCGGAGCACGGCAGGCGCAATAGATGGAACTACGTGGAAATCGTCTGTCCTCAGGCGGGGTCTCCGCGAGCACGAGAACGTGTCGCGAATGCGAGCGCTCGCCGCAATACTAGCTCAGAAAAGGTGCGTCAGGATTGAGTATTGGTAACGCTCCCCTGTTGAATGTTAGAAAAAGGCAGGAAAATCACGACAAAGAATATCTCCCTGTTGTATCTCGTGTCGGGGAACAAGAGGAGAGGTCATCTCCCTTTCCACGCGGACACATTTTTTTCTGCAGCACCTGCACGAAACCTCCGCTTCCCACGCTGCGCCCCCCTGTGTACGATACGGTGTGCAAATTCCAGATTGGATGCGCTTTCGAGGTCGGATTGTGGTGGGCGGCCAACAGCCCTGCGCCGATCGTTGCGAAGGTGAGGTCATTTGCCATCAGTAGAAGCGGGTAGAAGCGGGTAACTGACGACGACGCAGCAGTAGTCTCGCCATGAATACGGTGAATGGACGAGCTCGATGGGAGCCACAGCCTACAGGGATCCGCGTCCGTACACAAGGGCTGGTGTAAAAATTCTGTGCGCCAGTAGACTGTTTCTTAGTAGTACGTGGAGGTAGACTCGTGAGAAGAAAGCCTATCGGGTTTCCAGTGTCAGCCTAGTTCGACGGTGGTTAAGCCTAAACAACCCTAAACCCTAACCCTAACCCTAACCCTAACCCTCACCCCAACCCAACGCTTGGTTGCTGGGCGTTGGTTAAGTGCTAGGTCGCTGCAAGTGGTAAACCTAGACTGCTGGCGCACAGAATTTTTACACCAGCCCTGGTGTACGGACGCGGGAGCCAGCCTACAGCGCTACCTTCGCAGCCACCCGATATTGCCTGGGGGGTGACCGAATGCCACGCCCACTTATGTAACCACAGAATCGCAAGCTTGCTCTTGCCACTATTTTGCTTCTCTACCGCTGCTTCTCTTCCGCTGCTCAGGGAAAACTTTGCCTCACGCACCACACGAAGACTTCCGGCGGGAAGGAGCACGAGCGCCCGCGAGCTATCGAGAACGAGATGAGCGTAGCGGAGATTGAGGCGAAAAGAGATTTTCTCCGTGAGCTGCACGCTTCTCGCGTCAAGACGACGGAGATCCACAAGACTCTCGAGCGC